GCCTGTGAGGTCTTGGCAATTGAGGAGCTTCCTCGACCCCCGGTATCATCCAGGGACATTGCAGCACACACGGCCAAGGATAGCGTGCTGTCCCGAGTATTAAACTGGGTTTGGAGGGGGTGGCCGGTTGGAAGCGTTGAACCGGAGTTCGGCCCTTACAAAAGCCGTCAAAATGAACTATCCATTTCTAAGGGCTGTGTATTATGGGGGAACAGGGTGGTGGTTCCTGACAAACTCAGGACGAGAGTGTTAGAGTCGCTGCACGAGGGTCACCCCGGTATGGTACACACCAAAGCGTTGGCCAGAGGGTATGTCTGGTGGCCGGGGCTGGACAAAGAGATCGAAGAATGGGTACGAGGGTGTCCCAAATGCCAGCAAGTCAGACCCGATCCCCCACAAGCTACACCCCAAGGCTGGGAGTCATCTGGTAAACCCTGGGCCAGATTGCATATAGATTTTGCTGGCCCTCTCCAAGGGCAAATGTTCCTAATTGTGGTGGACGCTATGTCCAAATGGCTGGAGGTCGTGCATATGAAATCGACCACATCACTTGCTGTGATCCATGCGCTCCGCCGACTTTTTGCCACCCACGGGTTGCCTGACGTCATCGTCAGTGACAACGGGCCTCAATTTGTGTCTGAGGAATTTAGGCTCTTCCTCACGAGTAATGGCATACGCCAAATGACTTCGGCCCCTTTCCATCCGGCATCTAATGGCCAAGCCGAACGGATGGTCAGGACGGCCAAAGAGGCCCTGGGTAAAATGGACGAAGGGGACTGGAGCCAGAGGCTGGGCTCCTTTCTTTTGCTGCAGCACACCACCCCCTGTAGTGCTACAGGCCGTAGTCCGGCCGAATTGTTAATGGGGCGGAGACTCACGACCCGTTTGAACCGAATGCACCCAGACCTCACTGAAGAGCAATCCGAGCGTACCACGGCGCAACCGAAGGTGCGCATGTTTGAAAAAGGGGACAAGGTTTTCGCACGAAATTATGCAAACGGGCACTTATGGCTTCCTGGGGTTATATCCGACTCTGTGGGTACTCGAATGTATGTGGTGCAGTTAGCTGACGGTCGAATATGGCGGCGCCACATAGATCAGTTAAGGAGACGTTGGGCTAGGGACAGCGCTGACTCTCCGACGGCTGAATCCCCTGATGTCGAGTGGACACCCCCAGAGCAGGCGGTGAGTACCGAAAGGCCCGGTACTGTCCCCGAGTCAGGGCAGAACCCTGTGTGCGGGGCTGAAATCCCAGTCGAGTCTGTGCCTGATCCAGGCTGTAGTGAACCCCACTCTGACCCACAACCTTGTCTGCCCATGGAGCCTGCACCGCTCCGCAGGTCCCAGCGTTCGCGGCAAATGCCGACTTATTTGAAGGACTATGAGTGTAAATACTGTTGGAATAACTGATGTACAAAGGGTGATTGTTTGTATGTAAATAATAAAACAATTGGGATGATGGCTTAACTTAGGGGGGAGGAATTGTAATGTATTGAAATGATTACAGGAATCACCTCATAGGACTCCCATGTTAAGCTTCGAGCCAGACCAGGGCTCCTCTGAGCGAACTTCCTATTGGTCGCTTCGTAACAGCGACCAATCAGAACGGTACCATTCCCTAGGAGGGAAAGACTCCCATTGGTCTTTATTCTAGCAATCTCATTGGTTGTTATTTGTAAATAGGCGTGGCTACATTAGCCCGGTTATGTTTAAAAGGAGCATAAGCTCCCACTGTTTTCTGTTCTGGTTTCTTACTGAGTTAGTGCTTGTTCGTTACTTCTAAATAAAGCTGAATCACTTGCTGAATCACTCTACGAGTCCTTTGTTAGCGCGATCTAACAATTTCAATTGCTATTTTTTTTAAAAGCTGTTCTGTGGTGGTATGGCAGCTGTGGGGGAGGGGGGCTAAGTCAAGATAAATAGTGCTATGTGGGTGGGTTCTGGGGGAAAACATTGCTTCTCACCCATATAGCATACAAAAAATGCTTTGGCTGAGAGCTTTCCATAAAGATTGTACCAAACCAGGTTTGGGAAATACTGCAGCAGATAGGAGAAAATACAGAAAATGGACGATTGGGAATGGTGTTGTGTGGATGCTCCAAAAAAACACTACTCTGGCTTGGATGCCAAGCCAGAGCAAAACCTCTGTAAGAAAGCACCCTAAATGGCTAACAGTATTTTCACTATCCACAAGTAATGCATTACAACATGCTACATTAATACAGAATATGACTGGCATGAAGAAATAAATCCTAGCTGAAACGACAGAAACTTGCAAATCACGTTCAGAACTGAATATAAATAAAGATTATCAGAACAGTCTTAATTAGGTTTTCATTCAAGTGGTGATTAACGCGTACTTTAGAGCTTTCCCATCACCTTGCCACTATGGCCTTTCTTGGCCCCCCCAAAAGTCACACATGAGGACCAGGGAAGCCTCATGAATGCAGTGATAGGTTACTGCTACAAATCTGGGTTACTGCTAGAATGCATTGAGAGGTTACTGCTACAAATCTGGGTTACTGCTAGAAATCAGAGACTCCACTGTGTCCAGAAACAAGCACCTTTGACTGGATCCAAGCCAGAGAGCTGATGATAACTTAGCTGTCTGTTTATATTTTTATTATATTTCATAAATTTAAGTTTCTTAAAAATATTGTGTTAATACATTGCACATTGTGTATTATTTAGTATGTTGTAATGAAAATAGACCTTGTGGAGTTGTAAGCCATTTTAAACCTGGTCAATATTTCACTATGAACAAATAAGTGTAGCTTGACCTTTAAAAAGACTGATGTAGACTATGACATTCTACTGAGGTTGCCAGGATCAGAAACCTTGTTTGAGTGTGACATTCAGGGCTCATGGAGGCCATTGATTTGTGGAAGATTATTAGTATCTTGGCAGTTTTGATTGGCCTTAGAATGTCAGGTAAAAATTCTTTCTAGGGCAATTAATGAGATAGCAGCTTTGGGCTACTGTCATTATCTTCTAAATGGTGAGCAAATGATTATAATTGTAATGCAATGAAAAATGCTAAGATAATAAGTGTTCAAAAATTATAACTGAACTGACTTAGTCACACATACTGTGCCGATTTTTTAAAACTGAATTTGGGGTTCCTGAAAGTGCTTTGTTTTTATTTAAAGCTTCCTTGAGAAAAGTTTTGAAGTATACTTTTTGCTGTGGGAAAAAGAAAAGTTTTAGGCTGTGCTTTCCCAGGTTCCTGGCTCGTACCAGCAGCTGCCATGCAGCACAAAACCAACAGTGTTCCTAAGTCTGTTTTACTCTGGATGAAAGGTCATAAGATGCAGCAGAGAAATCACTATGTTTTGATTACCTTTGGGGTAACTATTGATTTTTGCCTTATCATATCCTAGCTAATAAGGATCCTTGCTGCACTAGTGCATGAAAGAAGGAAATTTACGATAGAAAATCCAGATTTTGACTCATTTATTTTTAAGCATAACATTTTTCTTTCATGTGGTAGCAGTGAAATAATATGTTCCTCCTGGTATTTTCTTGTTTTGCAGAACTATTCTTTATTTATAACTTTTGAGTGTGCTATACGTATATTTTATTTATTTATTTATTTAGGTATTTTTACCCCGCCCTCCCCGCAAGCGGTATATGTAAATATTGAACAACTAATAAACTTAAATTACAAAGCACTGATAGGGTCACATTCTGTAATCTGTCAGCAGAATCTTCTAGTAATAATGAATCATTCCCATTCCCATGTTTCTCTCTCTCCTGCAGTCCCTTCTGACCCCAGAAAACTTGATTCCCGGGGTTGCAAGACCCATGGGTTGGGGGCTGCATTGAGCAGATGTAATGGTATGAAATTGCTCTCTTGCCTCTTTCATTAGTGGACGTGGTGCTTGTAGAAGAAGGAGGCATAGCGTGCCAGTCCAGTGTTTAATGTTTTCTTGCCAAAAAATGTATTTCAGGTGCTTTAAAAATTCGTAGATGCAAAAGACTGGGGGAAGCGTAGTACTGCATGCTTTGTACTGAATGACTTCTGTTGTGTCTTTATCATTGACAAGTAATGTTAAGCCTTTGCCAGGATTCTAATCTGGAACAATCTCACTGGCTAATGAACAACTGTAACCAATCAAATGTAAGAGAACTGTACTGGAGGAAACAAAAGGGATTGGTTGTTATCTATGTAGTATGATTGGACCTTAACTATTCAAGGGCGTGGCTACACCAGCCCGGGAGAGTTTAAAAGGAGCTGTGCTCCACTGTTGTTTTGTCATGTGTCATCTTGTGTGATCTTTGGAGTTCTCGTTCTCAAATAAAGCTGATTCACTTGTTACTTACATCGTTGTTGAGTTGCATACTTAACAACTTCCTCTGCTACAGAAGTGTTATCATGAGAAAAGATGCCTGGATGCATGCTTAATGAGCTTACAAATAACTATACCGCTAGTGCATGGAAGTAAAATTGGCAAGACCCTGTGAATCATTAATACTGGTGTGTGTTACCTGCTTTTAAAATCGAGCCTTTCCCTGGTGATTAGCTTTATTATGAAATTTTATAACAACCTTGTGAAACACACAAACTAGCATAATCAATAACTGGATTTAATTTGACATCTCTGAAACAGTTACACAGTATGCAGTTTGCTCAACACAAGATGAATAAGTTGAGCTGTTTGAGAGTGATTTGTGACAAATTATGTGATAGTTGTTAAGTTATCCACTAGGATCCCAGAACGTCTCTGTGTGTACATATGCAAGAGTTGAAGGGGCTGTGCAGAGAATCCTCACTGGGACTACAAAGATGGATAGTGGAAATGAAAACTGTTTAGCTTCCAACATGTGGCTTCCTATTTCTGTAAGGGACTTCCAATGGACTTCCTATGCTAAATCAGCTGCAAGTCTCTAGAGGTTTGAATCAGAAATATGACACTGTCTGCCTTGCCATAGAGCAGTTTTTGCTGTGATTTGCTTTTACAGTTTGTTTCCCCTCCCCTCCCCCCTTGTGTCATTTTCAGCATGCAAAGATCTAGTAGCTCCTACTCGTGATCGGAAGCTGAACACATTTGTGCAGATCACAGTGGTGCATCCAGGGGAACAGACGTCAGCTAGATATTCAAGCACAGAAATTGTGGAGGTGAGCTCCTCTTTGTTGCATCACTGTTAGTCACCAAAAGACTGTCTTTTACTTTCCCTCCTTTCTTTCATTTCTTAAAGTTAGGCAAGCTGTTGTTGGCATTTAATTGATGCAAACAGCTACAATGTTGACTTTTGGATAAAGTTCTTTCAGAAAAAATCATTTGGTTGTTCAGATCTCAGCCTCAAAAATGTTGGGAAAATATTGCTTTCCCTAATGTTGAAGTAACATAAAATATAAGCTTTTGGTGAAGAAGGTGGTTGTGAACTTTTCTTCACAACATTTTCATGGAAAAATGCATGCTGTGTTTTATTGGTAATATTTATGGCTCTGCTTACTGCAGCTCATATTACAGCATAAAGTTCTTTTCTGGCTTGTTGTCTTATCAGAATGTTACTGGGGAAACAAAGTTCCTGTTTTCTGTCATCAGTTTGTCTGTTAAGGAGTTTTGGTGTGGGCACTGGGGAAGAGTACAGCATCTCCATGAAAACATTTCTAATAATTAAAGTGGGCTGCCTCTAGGCATCCCAGGATTGCTTTTTGAGAAAACTTGTGACTGGTTATCTAGTTGTCACATTTTGAACCATCAGCAGTCTTAAAAGGGTAACTTATTCTATAAACAGCAGGATGTTTTGATGCAGACTGTCTGGCATGTTTTACTGCATTGGCTGGAACAGATTATTCATGCTCATGGTGAATCATTTCCTATTACTAGGATGCTGGGCAGTCCTCTAGGTGTGTGTTTAAACTCTGACTATTTATTTATTTATTTGTATTATATTTTTCCATTTCTGTGCTGCTACTCAATATATAAAAAAATAAAACAACCACATAATTATTAAAAAGGATTATAACCGTCAGTGGCCAAAGTCCAATGAGCTACTTTAGACTTTCTGAGCATTATTTTTTAATATTTTTTGTTGTTGTTGAATACTAGATCTCCATGCTGTATCGAAAATCAATTTTGGAAGGCATCCAGTTTCAAAAAAAGGAGTTTGTCATTTAGAAGAGATGACTATTATTTAAGAGATATGCCCGCAAGCCCCTGGGTTTGCAGAACTGGTGGCTCATTTCCTTGGACCCCAGCCTATAATAAGATTGTCAATAATAGTATAAATACTGGGAGACAACATAACTCATCATTTGCAGCAGTTTACAACTTTGTTTTTGTGATAGGCAAATTTTGCGGACAGTTGGGTTCTTTGGGGCTGCTGCTGCATCACCCAGCTCCCTCAGTTGCATGGGAGAAATACAAAACCAAGCCTGCCTTCCCTCCATTGGCTGAGGTCTCCTTCCCCTCCTCCTCCTTTGGGGAGGAAGGGGGGGAGAAAGTGGTGGAGAGAAAACAAAGTCAGAGTCTCATGGCACCTTTAAGACCAACAATGTTTTATTCCAGGTACAAGCTTTCATGTGCATGCACACTTCTTTAGACGGAGAGACGGAGGAGGGATTTTTTTGGACAAGCACAATTTACATTGAGATTGCCATGCTCCACTGTTTACTTTGAGACTTGATCATACACACACATTAAAAGGAAGGGGTGTGGCAAGGAGATGCATTGGGATAAGAGAAAAGGAGAATTAAAAGAAAATTATTTTGGCATATTCTGAAAAGTTTTTTTTAAGATTAGATTTCTCTGTGCCTATCTGGGATTTTATTTTCTTTCAAAAAGACCCTGAGTAGGAATTACAACATTTGGATTGGATTCTATTTTAGTAGTAGTAATAGCAGCAGCAGCAGCAGCAGTAGTAGTTTATTATTACAGTCTTTAGACTAGCATACAGTTTAGTCAGACATAAAATACAGTAATACAAAATTCAAATTTAAGAACTTTTAACGTACAGTTCTTGTAATTTGAAAATTAATGCACAACATTTAGCAACTTGACATGTGATCTTAGAATTATTGTCAGATAAAAACCGGTGAAGCCTTGCTTTATTTGTGTTTATATGGCCAGGGATCATATGAAGTAACAGAGAAATAACTCCAAGACGTACCTCCCTGCAGAGGCCATGGGCAGCATGGATTCCATTGTTTAATGACTGGAAGTAGATGTCTAAGTATTCAAAAATACATTTATGGTTCCATATGTTGAAGTTCAACACATCTCCCTTTCTCCTCTCCCACCTTGCTGACTGCCTTTCTTCACATTGGACCCCCCCTTGCTTTTTAACTGTTTCATTGTCATCACTAGCACTGAGTGGATTTTGCCAAATCTGAAATCAACACATTATTTATTTATTATATTTATTTATTATTATTATTTATTTTATTTTATTTATTTTGTATTATTATTTTATTTATTTTATTTATTTATTATTACATTATTTCACTTGAAGAGATCCCCCTCTCCAGTTCTAACAGATGAAGAAAAAAGAAAGAAACCTAACAGCACAGCTTGCAATCTTTATTAGTAGAAAGGAGCAAGAGTCCAGTAGCACCTTAAAGGCTAACAAAATTTGTGGCAGGGTATGCGTTTTCATGAGTCACTACTTTACTAGAATGTGAGTCCATCAGTCTTTATAACATGGAGAGTGGAGTGATTTCAGATCCCCAATGACAATAACAGGCATTGGTAATGAGACAGGAAATCTAGGTCTCAATTCAGTCCAGGAAGATAGATTGTCTTGAGCTTCATTATCAGTTGCAATTAGCAGTTTCCCTTTCTAATGTTCCTCTGAAATACCTTTGTAAGAAAGCTGCTACTCTTAACTCAGCAACTGAATGTCCTGTAAGGTTAAAATGTTTCCTCACTAGTTTTTGAATGTTGTGGTTTCTAATGTCAGTCTTATGTCCGTTTATGCTTTGTATCCTCCTGGACTGAATCCTCCCAGACTGACTTGAGACCTAGGTTTCCTGTCTCAATACCAATGCTGGTATCTACATGCCTACCACCCCTCTGCATATCACACCTAATCCAATCAAGTTTGCTGTTATCATTTACCTGCTATTATCATTCAGCATCTGAAATCACCTTTATTTTATGTATTTATTTTATTAGACTTTTATCTTATCCTCCCCTGCACACGGGGCTCAGGACTACATTCAACAATTAAAAACAGATAAAACAGTTAAAATAGTAAAACCCTCTATCAATTATACAACAATAAATAATTCGGAATACAAGATGGCACATAAATATAAGTGCATAGTGCTTCTCTGGGTCTGTGCAGATGTGCCCAGAATTAACTAGTTGGGCAATCACTACCAACAGTCTCTGATCAGTCTTCCGGTTTTGGTGTTCGCCATGACGGTCGCTTCTCTCAATCCTCCGGGAGAGGACTGCCAGAGCCCACGGTGAGGAGGGGGTGCGATTGTCCATGCCACCCCTGGAGCCTCTGTAGGAGGCTCCTAGCCATGGGGCACAAGAAGGCTCTTCCTCCGGCAACCCTGCCAGCAAAGGGGGGCTTTCTCCATGCCCTGAAGGTCCCACCACGGAGCATCCCAAATGGGAAATAGAAGCCCACACCGGAGCAAGTGTTTGGTGGCAGAGTGATTTGCAAAGAAAAGCGGATCTAGCATTGAAATGTGAGTTGGAATCTAAGCAAGAATCACCAAAAACTAAAGCGGAAACCCACCCTTTAAAAGTGTGGGGGGGGAATCTCCCCCGATAAGAAAAAACTAAGCAAACTTTGTGTTAAAAAGGGGGGTGGACCATTGAAGCAAGAGAGACTGAAATTAAAAGCATTTAAGAACTTACCAAGCTGAGCTGGGAGAATTAGAGACTGTGATAACTTGGATACAGTGTAAACAGTCTTAAATCCCACGAAGAAGGAGGAGAAAGACAAACAAGTAAAACCAAAACTTCTTGCTGAAACTACGGGTACAGCGAGTTCTGCCCCTAGACAGGACACAACTACGGAGCTACAAAAGTTGCTGACGGAAGCATTGCGACCCCTGCTGGAACAAGTGACAGCACTACACAGCAAATTCGACGCACAGCAATTGCAATTGACTGAAATAGGGGAAAAAACAGATAAAACTGAACAAAAAGTAAAAGAAGTGGATACCAATACCAAAAAGCTTAAAAAACAACTACTGGTGATGGAAAAAAAGAGATTGATGGAGGAGTCTCAATTGTTACAGCTACAAATGGAGACAGCAAGCTATGTCTTAAGATTTCAAGGTGTTCCTGAAGAAAAATCTGAGAATCTGAAACAGACTATGTGTGAGGCATTAGGACCTCTGGCAGATATAAAAATGGAGCAGTGGTATCTTCAGACGAGGACTCAGACTCTAAATTAGGGGCAGGTGCCCCGAAGACAAGCTATCGTTTGAGAAAGCCAAAGTATAAAAAATAAGATATCACTCTCTGAAAGCTCTTAAAATGTATTGTTACAAGACTTATCCTGGTTTTTAAGAAGTCAGGTCATATTATTAGTATAAACTGAGTGTTAGATGACTACATTCAATGAATTTGAATTGAATTATGAGCTATAAGCTAATTTTGTTAAGCAGTTTGTATGACCACCATCTCTTGGGTTTTTAGTGAGTTTTCTTTAATTTCTCCCATAGTATGTAGTTCCCTACCCTGATTTCATTGTAGTTTTTTAGTTTGTAGTTTATAGAAAATGCAAATTAAAAAATCCCCTACGGGGGGCAAAAACTCCAAAGTCTCTGATCATACTAGGTCAGGGTGGGGTGAGGCAGGGGAGGCCAATATGACGGGATACCTGTCACCTCAACCAAAGGCCTCATGGAACATTTCCATTTTACAGGCCCTGAGGAACTGAAGCAGGTCCTGCAGATCCCTGATCTCATTTGGGAGAGTGTTCCACCAGGCTTGAGCCAGTTTGGTGTAGTGGTTAAAGGTGGCAGACTCTAATTTGGAGAACTGGGTTTGATTCCCCACTCCTCCACATGCAGCTGCTGGGTGACCCTGGGTCAGTCAAAGTTCTCTGAGAGCTGTTCTCTCAGAGCTCTCTCAGCCCCATCTACCTCACAGGATGTCTGTTATGGGGAGAGGAAGGGAAGGAGATTGTAAACCACTCTGAGACTCCGAGTGAAGGGTGGAGTATAAATCCTAGCTCTTCTTCTTTTTCTTTTTCAAGTCTAAATGGATGTCCTTCAGACCAGGGACCACCAGCAGCTGCTGATCCAATGAGTATAAAGCTCTTTGAGGGACATAGTGAGAGAGGTGGTCCTGCTGATATGTAGGTCCCAGATTGCTCAGGGCTTTGAAGGTTAATACCATAACCTTGAACTGGATGTGGTACTCTACTGGAAGTCAATGCAGCTGGCAGACCACTGGTTATATGTTTGCTCTAAAAGGTGTCCTGATAAGGACACACATGGCTGCATTTTGAACAAGTTGGAGTTTCTGAGTGAACCTCAAGGGAAGCCCAGCATAGAGCAAGTTGCAGTAGTCCAGCCTGGAGTTGACCATTGCATTGATCACTGTGGCTAGGTCATGAGGAGGGAGATAGGGAGCCAGTTGTCTGACCAGCCAAAAATGGTAAAAAGCTTTTTCTGGCAACAGTAGTGACTTGGGCCTCCATGGAAAGTGAGGCATCCAAGATCACACCCAGGCTTCTCACCATCTGCATTGGCGTCAATGGTTTATATAGGTACCTCACATTACATTTTATGGCATGCGTGGCCTGGCCTGACAAAGTGACATTTATGTCAGCTCCAGCTCTCGTAACAAATGAGTTCGACACCTTTGGTTTAAATTTTGAATGAATGAATTGCTGTTCCTAATTAGAAGAGTTCTGATATATAATGACACAATTGCCTGAGGCTGTTAGTGGTCACATACTCTGCTTCTGTGTCCTGAAACATCTATCTGCAGTCTGAGCAAGCATTTGCTGTAGTATTATATTTTGTGTTTCTGGCTTTGACAACTGGCAAGCCAAATTTCTGTTTACTGCATTGCCTTTGCAAATCCCATAGTTTTTGTGTCATTGTCTATAATAGCATCCAGCATATTGCACAGCTGCTACCTTGCTAAATCTGAACTATGTGCCTCTGCTATACAGGGAACAAGAGACCCACTGTTTCTGACTGGTGTGACGTTCCCAGGGGATTACCCTATCTATGAGGAGACGAAAATAAAGTTAACAGTCTACGATGTTAAGGATAAATCTCAAGACACGGTAAATGCCTTGGTGCTTCTTTTGTTAAAATATTGCATGGCAGTGTGATTGGTCTTTTAATGGGTTGCTTTTAAGCCTTGGCCATTCTTAAAGGTATTGAATGTTGTTTTCCCCCCCCCCCCCCCGTTGAAACATAGTGGATGTTACCAGGAAACAAAGAGTTAAGATTGTGTGTGGCTTTTCTGTTAAAGGTGGCTGCTAGCATGTGGAATAGATTGAGATAAGCACTCTAGCTAGAAATTCATAACTAGCCTTTTACTTGAGGTGTGATAGAAGGATAATCAATTTGTGGTCCAGTCATTCTCATATTGTAACTCCCATTCTTGCAGGCGTTTTGTTATCTCTTCTGAAAATTTCTGTGTATTACATAATGTTGGGAAATATACTGTTTACAGAACTAGATTGTTAAATAAGGACTTCATACCACCGTATATCTACGAAGTACTTTAAAGCTCATTTGTTTTATTTTAATGTCTAGTTTTTCAAGCAGGCAACAATACTTTACAAAATCCTTTGCAATATTGTTTCCTGTTCTGCTTATGTTTATATTCAAGTACCACTGTTAAAAAGAGAACTTATTACAGTTGTCAAGTATTCTAGCTGGTGTATTAAAAGGTGAATATAAAGAAGTTATTTATTTATTAGATTTTTTTAGTCACCAGTGACCTGAAGGGTCTTGGGGTGACTTAAAACATTAAATACAATAAGGTAAAAGCAACATAAAAACAAATAACAAATATTAAATATTAACATCAAAATACTGAAATATGTGGCTGTCACCATACCACTATTAAAAAAGCCCAAACATGTTGTTACCCTCCAAAGGCCAACCTAAACAATTCAGCTTTGCAGAAACTAAACAAGTCTGGCAGGGCATGGATGTCATCTGAGAGTGTATTCCGTGGGGTAGGAGCCACAACTGAGAAGGCTCTTTCTCTGGTGACAGCTAACTGAGCTGTCTTGGGACAGACACCTGCAAGAGGTCACTAGACAATGACCAAAAGGAGCTTGTGGGGGTTGTAATGGTTATGAGGCTGTTGTTATGAGTTATGAGGCTGTTGGTGCCATGGGATTCTTTTTACTTGTGAGGGAGAAAAAGAAAAGTAGTCACATATAGAATGAAACATTATGGACATGCTGATAATGTCATAACATGATCTGCAGGGCCAGCCCAAGGTTGTCCTGTGCTCTAGGCGAGCGCAGATGCCAACCTCCCGGCGGGGCCTGGAGATGCGCTCTGGACATCCTTTCCCCGGTGGCAGGTGGTGTGTGTGTATGGGGGGGGGGTCTGGGTCTGCGCGTCCCCCCTCCTCTCCCCAGCCGCTGCCGCTGCCTTTCTCATTTTCTCCTGCCCAGCTGCGGAGGGGGGAGAGGGGGCCCCCTTCTCCGGCCCAGCCGCCGCCACCGCCTTTCTCGCAGCTGGGAGGAGCTCTGCGGCCGAATGGGAAGTGGAGAAGTGCTCGGGCTGGAGGCGAGCGCTGGTGGCCGCCACGCGTCCTCCTCCTGAAGCCGGCCTGCAGAGCTCCTCCCAGCCGCGAGAAAGGCGGCAGTGGTGGCTGGGGGGAGGAGGAGGGGGGCGCGCGCTGGTGCCTCGGCTGGAGAACCAGCCCTGTAAACGTTGTTGAAAACAAGCTGCAACTCGTCAAGAGGCCTCTAGATGCCTTCGCGGCCTCTAGATGCCTTCGATCTATCTCGAGTCTCAACATATTTGAACCGAAAAGGGGGGGGGGGATCAACGACGACAACTGAAGGCAAATCTTAAACCCCCCAAAACGGAAGACAAATATGAAAACGAAAAACCGAAAGCAAACAACAAAAAAAGAAAACCTCCCTGAAATTATAAACATTGATCATTTAAAATCGCCCGGGTCGTTTTAACCAGGGCCGGCCCGAGGTCTTTTAACGCGACCGGATTGTTTGTGCCGGCGCAGGGTACGTGCGTGTTTGAAAAGGATCGCCTCGTCCGCTTTCCCGCTGACTCTTTAGGGCTGTAACAGCTCGAAAATATTTAGGGCACAGCTTCAGATAACATATTTGAACCGAAAAGGGGGGGGGGGATCAACGACGACAACTGAAGGCAAATCTTAAACCCCCCAAAACGGAAGACAAATATGAAAACGAAAAACCGAAAGCAAACAACAAAAAAAGAAAACCTCCTTGAAATTATAAACATTGATAATTTAAAATCGCCCGGGTCGTTTTAACGCGACCGGATTGTGTGCGCCCGCGCGGGGTCCGTGTGTGTTTGAAAAGGATTGCCTCGTCCGCTTTCCCGCTGACTCTTTAGGGCTGTAACAGCTCGAAAATATTTAGGGCACAGCTTCAAATATTAAAAATGCAGCTGGCTCCGCTTTCCAACCTTCTCTTTGGCTGCAACAGGTTTTGCCCGCCAGGCCTGGGACCGAATCGCCCCGTATTTGAAGCTGCGCCCCCGCTCGGGCTGGAGGCGAGCGCTGGCGGCTGCCACGTGTCCTCCTCCTGAAGTCGGCCGGCAGAGCTCCTCCCAGCCGCCAGAAAGGCGGCGGTGGCGGCTGGGCCAGAGAAGGCCCCCACCTCCCCTCCCCCGCAGGAGACGGGCAGGAGAGCCGCCGCCACCACCGCTGCCTTTCTCAGGAGGAAAGCGCCGCACCCTGCCCACGACACCTCCGCGCGTCGTCCTCCTGCAGGTTGCAGCCAGGCGGCAGAGCTCCTCCCAGCTGCTGGCCGGGCCTCGGCGGCCGCCCCTGCTTCTTCTCCCGCGCCCTCACCGCCAGCTCGCGCTCTAGGCGAAGGCCTAGTTTGCCTAGCGGGCGAGCCGGCCCTGATGATCTGTTGCTGAAGGAACTTGGGGGTCCTAGGATTTTTTTCACACACACTTTGGATATTAGACTACTTTGCACATAACAAACCATAGTTGTTGTGACATCCTGGATGAAAAAACAAGCTGTGGTTTGTTCTTTTGCGTATGAATCAGGTTTCCAAACCACAATTTAATCTGGTTTAGAATCCTAATTTGCCTCTCCATTTTATCTGATTCATAAATCACAACATAGTAGTTTGGTGTAAACAAGGGAATCTTCCATATCCAAATAATGCGTGAGAGGATGGAGAGGGAATGTACAAATCCAAGGATTTTTAAGCCTTGTTCCCATATCAAACAAACAAACATGATTTGTTGTTACGGATTAACTCAGTGTCATATTTGCTTTCCCATTTTAATTGATACTAGGCATTGTAGATAATCAACTGCAGAAGAATCCATTGTTACTTTTGAGAAATGCTTTCTGATGCATACTTTTAAAAAGAAGGTATTTAGAATTAATTTTTTTTGGTTGCATAACACTGGGTTGGATCCACTGACTCTCTTCCAGTAAATAAGGACTCTTCTTCCAATATCGGAAGCCTTAACAGGAGCAAAGTTTTTTATTTACTGAAAAAGAGTTGTTGATTCCAGCTCAGTGCTTCCAGTATTTTTGAAGATGGGAGCCCTCAATCCTACCATTTTCATAGAGGGAAAGATGACTTCATTTACTTGAATTCTAATTTGGAGTTATGGCAACAGATTCAATGCTTTGCCATTTTGTGACAATATGCACACCTTTCTGCTGGTAGTTTGGGAGCATGACTTGTAAAGCACTTGTAAAGATCTCCTGATTTTTTTAAAAAACTCTCTAGGTAGGATTAAATCATAATGGCACAACCTTTATAGTTCCTGTCCAAGGTTTAGTATAAAGGTTTAGTGCCAAAAATGTTACCTGATGCATGGTGTGGCCCATATGACCATGCTTCTCACCCTGTCACCACTGATGTAGCCATACCTGGATTCTGCTGAGTCTGTTTTACTGGAATAAGAGCTGAATATGCATTCCTAGGAGGCAAGGTTGGAAGAAGTACATGAGGAGGAAGCAGGAACTAGGGACACAAAATGTTATGGAGCCATTGCATATGTCTAGTCAGTGGTCCCAACAAAGTAGCTCAGGCAGATGGATTTAGGTTTCTTGGAACAGCGAAGTGGTACTCCAAGGCACTGCAAAGTTAATCACTACTCAGGAGTAGCAACAGGCTTTTTAATCCCTGAATATTTGGTGTAAAATTATCCTCTCTCACTCAGACACACAGAAACATATACCTAGGCAACTCTAACCAAATTTGAATTAAAAAATTGTTCTCCTTTCTGTTGTTCTGGCTTTATGTATTCTGAGTATCTGATTTTTCATAACATTGTACTCAATTATATTGTGGTATTTGTTGTATGACTATTTAGCAAAAGCAAGAGCCCCATTGCTCAAGCATATGGTACATGATGTTGTGTCTTATATAACAACTGGGTACTTTAACAACAGTTGTATTAGCAATAGCAGATAAACGAAAAATGTTCAGGACATGGAGAATGAGTCTCAAGTCTCTTACCTTGGAATTATCCCATTGGTGCAGTGGAGCTATTTCAGAATCCAGGGTTTGTTTGTTTATGTAAGATATCCTGCTCAGGTTGTAGATCACAGCTATAATTTTAGAATCAGTAGATGAAACCATATACTGAAGACCATGGGAGATTCACCTTTCTGAAAAATCTATGCTGACATCTGTTTCCACATCACAAATATTTTCTTCCATATTGCCATAAGCCAGTTTACTTTATGTTTCACTGACTTAAGTCAGACTGTCTCAAAAATGTTATAGATGATTTTTGTCTTAACACTGCAGTTGTTTAGATCATTGTGCTCGAAAAAAGGGATTAGAAATATTGCAACTTTTTTAAAAATGCTGAGATTAACCTCCTGATTTGGAGGTATAATTAAGGGGTATTTTTTCAATTAATTCGAAATAACAAAATGTTACCCCTTAGAGTTGCCTGGCATTGCAGTTATTAAATGACTGAAGATCATTGAGTAAGTATTGTCTCATTCAACATAGAGCCACTTGAACAAGAATGAGCCATGAATGTGTATTTATTAGCAATGGGCACAAACTGGGAAAATATGGTTCATATTGGTTCGTGGTCTGTGGTGTGCCCGGTTTGT